TGGAGTACGTAAAAGAAACGGAAAGGCAGAGGTGGCCGTACGCAATTTAGAACTTCCTTAGGTTATTTCTGAAAGCATTTGTCGGGCTTAAATCCAGTTACTGCAGCAGTATTCAGAGCGGTTCTGGTTGTTGTTGTCTTTGATCACCACTCAGAATATTGCTCTTTGAGGACAGATGAGATCAGATTTCCCCTCCATCAACGAGTTAAAGCTCACATTAGTGAGGACAATTTTCTATCAATCAGCTGAGGAGAATGTGGTTAAACGTGTGTGTGTGTGTGTGTGTGTGTGTGTGTGTGTGTGTGTGTGTGTGTGTGTGTGTGTGTGTGTGTGTGTGTGTGTGTGTGTGTGAGAGAGTATGGTGCAAAAAGTTCATTTATGTCAGGAAATTAAAAGATGAAACTAATACATGAGATTAACTCATTTTGTGCATATCCAGATATTTCAAGTCTTTATGGATTCCACCTCATAGGAGCTACTTGTAGTTTCACTGTAATGTCCCATCAGTGCCAATATTAATTAATTAATTAATTAATTAATTAATTAATTAATTAATTAATCCATCCACCAGTACCTGTGTCCATGCTGTCCAGGTCCAGGTGGTGAAGAACACACGATGAATCAGTCCCAGCTGATGGATGATCCTGAAGTGGTAGCAGGTTTTCTTTAGCCGTGTTTAGCTAACAGCTGCAATAGAAACAAAGCAGGAGAGCTGATTAAGATGCTGCTTCAGAACAACGCAGGAGATTAAAGATCCAACGCTTTGGTTCTGATCAGCTGAGGACAGATCCAGTCTGGAAAAGAGGACCTTTGCTCACCAGAGTTCACGGAGTAGAGCTAACCGCTTTTGAAGTTGAATCTTAAAGCGGTCCAAAGGCAGAGGCCGTGTCGGGCAGACCTGGATATGATAAGAGCCAAAGCCACATGCCGTCCCAAGGACTCTTCTGTAGGACCAGAGAGCAAAGAATGTTGGTTGCTAGGAGATTTTGTTTTATGGCCTTGAGCTAAGTTTCAGGAAGAGTCGGGCTCTGACTTCACATCAGGAGAATAAAATCTGTGACTCTTCACAGGAAACTGGGAGGTGAAGACCATCTCCAATGCATGCTTGGATAAATAAATGATTGAGATGAATAGAAACCTAAAAGGCAAGCGGTGGCTTTTCTTCTCATTTGTGCAGAGAACCTTAAGAACTGGGAAGGCGGAAAAACAGTGAAGGATAACAACTAATATTAACTGTAACTAACTTAAGGTTAAATCAATGGCATCATGGAGCAACGAAACAACACTATATTTTTATTTTCCACTACACTTCCACCTCATAGGAGGTATTTGTAGTTTCACTGTAATGTCCCATCAGTGCCAATATTCATTCATTCATTCATTCATTCATTCATCCACCAGTACCTGTGTCCATGCTGTCCAGGTCCAGGTGGTGAAGAACACACGATGAATCAGTCCCAGATCCTGAAGTGGTAGCAGGTTTTCTTTAGCCGTGTTTAGCTAACAGCTGCAACAGAAACAAAGCAGGAGAGCTGATTAAGATGCTGCTTCAGAACAACGCAGGAGATTAAAGATCCAACGCTTTGGTTCTGATCAGCTGAGGACAGATCCAGTCTGGAAAAGAGGACCTTTGCTCACCAGAGTTCACGGAGTAGAGCTAACCGCTTTTTCCTCCAGAGTCACATTCAGATTCGGGGCTTTTCCGTCGGAGAGTGTGAGCAGGATGGATGAGAGAGCGAGCAGCGATCCTGCATCATGACCAACTCAGATGAGCGAGTCTGATAGAGGGAACCTCTTCCATCTGATGAAAGCAGCAAAACGAGCGCGTTTCTCAGAGAGGCCACGTAAAAACACGCCGTGTGCGCCCTACGTGACCTGTGGGCTGAGCTGAGACATTCTAGTGGCCAATCAAAGCACGTTCTCCGCTCACGTGACCCCAAGATGTCAGCCTGTGTCAGAAAATAAACAAAACTGAGACAGAGCTGGAAACGGCGGAAATGCCTCTACTTTTTTGTTGAGGAAGCGTCGCCGCCACCGGCATTTCAAGGTTAGGAGATTATGGGTACGGTGGCTGGAAAGATGGGCCAGGCAATGAGTTTATGCCAATCTACTCCAAGAGATGCGCCTGGAAAACCCAGAATCCTTCCGACAGTACCGCCGCCTGGGCAGGGGCGCCTCCAGAAAATTTTGATAGGGGTGGCCAGATGAGGCCAAAGAAAGTTTTGGGGTGGCACACCAAATTGGTCCTTGTGGTAACTCTGGGAGAGTTTAGCCTGTGGCGATGTATTGCATTGCTCCTTTATTGGTTTTTATATATAAAAAACACTATGTGTTCAAAACATAAAATGTACAAACACAAACATTTCAGAAAAATACATTTCAGTTATTTAAATTTTGTTACAAATTTAAAACAGGAACAAAAAAAATATAAAGGGTGAGCAGAAGAAAAGTATGTTTTTTTATTCCTGCTTATTTCTTTACTCATTAATTGTATTCGTTTTTTGTTTGTTTTACAA